CGCAGCACAGAGGCACATATTCATCTGGCGTTGCCATGGCAGTGCGCGAGTCACCGATCGGGAATCCCCGCGCGCGCGAACTTCGCAAGCGTAGAATGCGCCGAGAAAGATTTCCTATGAGTTGCCGACTTCTGTAACCAAGTTCCCGCGAAACGCGGCTCTAACTTCGCGGCTGCAGGCCCTGGCGGACCTAACGGCAGCGCTCCGCATCCAGGCGCTACGAATCGGGGCGGCATTGCACGAACTGGACCGCATGCTGAACCGAGCTTGCGAAGCCGCTGGCAACTAAGTTCAGGCGATCGCCCGCGCCGCTCGGAATCGCGAGCGAAGTCTGACACTGGCACGCGCGCGCCGATAACATGTAATCGCACCTGCGCTGTGGGGGGCACTCGTTTGGCGCGGCGTGCGCGACGCAGCTGAGCAGGCAATGTCTGTCAGTTTGTGCGAGCCGCGCCCAACGAACCGCGTGATGGCTCAGTTCAAAATGTCCCACTCGCTGCGTGCGCAACGACCCCCGGCGCGATGGCCGACGCGCTGGTCGCGCTCATCGAGAGAGCGGGGGCACCAGGAAGCAAATCTTGGATCTGATGGGTACCCCAGGGGGGTAAGGACCACAGCTCCCCCAGTTGCCGCTGGTCGGAGTAGCACTGCTGTTGCCAGCATGATCCAGATTTGCAGCACCAGCGCAACCAGCACCACTCTTCGCTGCTGCCCTAGTGCACTCAGCAGCAGCAGCGCGGCTGCGATGGCGTCGGCGACAGCCGCGCCCACCTCTTTCGCGGACGACGCACTGATGGCCTCAGGCCAGTCCTGCCATGAGGTTGGGATGCAGGGCGTACCACTTCTGCAGAGTGCTTTGGACCTGCCAGGGCCTCCAACGGCCCCAGCTCCATTTTCGTAGTGGTTTTGAATGGCTTCCCCATCGCGCTCGCCTGGGGGTTCCTGGCCTCCAGGTCGGAGCCGCGACCGGGCCCAGCAGTGCCGCGCACAGCAGCGCCAGGGCCACCAGCAGCGCCATTGGTGACCACCACAACTGGGACTAGCAGCGACACGCATACCAACAGCGCTATTGAGAATCCCACTGGCCAGTACTGCCCGGAGTAACCGAACCAGCACAACCAGCACCATCTTTGCATCCTTCACAGCAGCACCAATGCATCCAGTAGCAAAAGCGCACTTTCGATGCCGTCGGTGACAGCCACACCCTTTTCCTTCGCGGACATCGCGCTCATATGCGTGCACCGCCCGCGTCGCCAGAACGACGCCTGCTCCAGCACCCTGTCCGACGTCGAACCCGTCAACCTGTCCGTCGTTTGCGCCGTCTCGTGGCCTTGAAGTACTGCTGTTCAGGGATGCTCATGGGGTGGTGCTCGGGCCATTCTCAAGGTCTGGAGCATCGTGGATTTCTTTATTTTGCATATGCCTGGGATGTGTGGATTGGTAATGTCTTATGGGGTGGCGGCAGTGCCACCCGCATGGGCTTCATGCCCATGTCCTCCGGGTTCGTCCTCTGAGGTCTGCCAGCGCGGCCGCCGCCGCCACGCTAATCATAGGGTCTTGCTGCCATGTCTCTCCTTTTCTTCCTCTCTCCTCCCCCTCCTTTCGGTCACAGCTTTGCATTGCATGTAACACTTGTTTGTCATGCTCACTGGCGCTGGCCCCCGTCCCACGGGGCCGCGCCCACCGCCACGTCAGGGGCGGTTTGCTCTCAGAGTTTCCCGCCCCCTTCACTCTCCATGTACGGTGTCACATTGGTCGTTTTATTTGCCAGGCCGTTCGCATCTTCCCGCTTGCTCGCTTCTGCTCTTCTTCTCGTCCTTTCCCGTGGCTCTTCTGCGATGCGGTGGCATTCTCGGCACTTTGTGCTTGCCCGTTTGACTCGGCCCGTTCTCTGGGTCGACGGCCTTGTTTTAAATGTTAGGCTCGTGAGAGTTATCTGTGCGAGTGCCCCCTCCGGCAATGCTCGGGTGTTGCTGTCTATGCACCCGCGTCCTCCGCCGCTTTGCTCGTATCTCCTGTTGCACATATCCTTGTCGGCGCGTTGAGGGTGGTGCCGCGGGCATCAGGCTTGCTCAGCGCTGGCGTGTGGGGGCGAAGATATGAAGAGGCAGTACGTGTCAGTTGTGTTGAAAGACAATGCTGGTCACAGTTGTGGTTTGGGTTGCGTCAGTGTTATTGTACTATTGATGCCAATCGGCCCAGGCCAGAACCTTGACCAGGACCAGTCCTGGTCACACTTGGGGTTGTATTAACATTGTGATAATACTACTAACGCCAGTCGACCCAGACCAGAACCGTGACCAGACCTTGTTCTGGTCACGGTTCTGCTAAATCTGGGTATATTGGCATTAATAACATCAGAATGATCCAGCGCATCCCGAATCACAATTGTGACCAGGATTGGTTCTTGTCAGGGTTTGGTTTAGTTTGATTGGCGTTTATATCGGTATAGCAATGTAACCTGAACTAGAATTGTGGCTTGGACAAGTTCTGGTCACGGTTCTCTCTTCTGTGCCGATTGGCATCAATAACGTTACATTAATACACATACAGCCCGAACTGCAATTATTGCCAGGATTGGCCCTGGTCATGATTCTGGTTCGGGTCTATTAGAGTTGGTAATCTTATTATACCGGTAGCTATGCAACCCGAAGCACAATTGCGACCAGGACTGGTTCTGGCCACGACTCTGGTCTGGATCGATTGCCAGTAATAGATAGTCGCTGAAAAATCTAAGGCGGCCCGAACCACAACTGTGACCAGGACTTGTTTTGGTCACGTTTCTGTTCTGGGTCGATTGGCGTCCATCGCTTTACAATATGCCTCATGCAAACCGAACCACAACTGTGACCGGGACTTGTTCCCGTCACGATTTTGACTTGGGTCGATTGGCATACATATCCTTATATTGACACTCGTGCAGCCCGGCCACAGCTGTGACCAGGACTGGTCTTGGTTACGGCTTTTGTCTGGGCCGTTTGCATTAATCATGTCTTCATAACGCTAATGCGACCCGAACCGCAACTGTGACCAGGAGCCGGCCTGGTCACGAATCAGGTTTGGGTCGATTGGCGTTAATAATTGAATGATAAGAATATGCATGCAAACCGAGCCACACATGCGACCAGGATTGATCCTGGTCACGGTTCTGGGGTGGGTCGTATGGCATTGAGAGTTTTATATCACAACACGATTTCAACCAAAGCTTCAATTCTGACCAGGACTGCTCCTGGTCACGGCTCTTGTCTGGGCCGACTGGCATCAATAATTTCATAATCATTCACATGCGAGCCGAACCGCAAATATGACCAGGACTGGTCCCGGTCACGGTTCTGGATTCGGTCGATTGGCAATCGTAAACAATATCAAAATCAATGCAACCCGAACCGCAATTGTGACCAGGACCAGTCCGTGTCACGTTTCTGGTCTGCTTGCATGATTCTGAGCGCATTCTAATAATGCGACCCGACCTGGACCATAATCAAGATTGGTCACAGCCATGGTTGTGGTTGAGCACTCAGATTAAGTATCCCGACCCAATCCAAACCACTTCCTAGACCAGTTGCAGTCATAGTTTAAGTCCGATATCAAAATATTGATCGGATGACGCACCCGGTTGCCGTCACCCAGACCAAGCCTGGTCACACTCGCATTTCGATCGTATTTTCGTAATTCGAATCATGCCCACTTCAACCAGAACCATAACCAGAACCACACTCCCGGAGGAGGGCCCAGATTGCGAAATGGCGCCCGCTATTTTTTGTTGCCACGGTCACCCGCGGGGGCGCGGAGATCTCGCGATCCGCGCGTCGTGGCCAGGGCCACGACGGCGCCCTTCTTCCAGGGCGGCGGCACGGGGGCGCGAAGATAAATGTGCGTCGCGCATCGCGGTGCGCGGTGCACGAAGTTAGGTGATCTGGGTCGCGGCGCCCAGGGCCATTGAAGGTGGGCCCAGGGCGAAGGAAAACTACTCTGAGGAAGGAGCGGAAGCGCTGCCCTGAGATCCGACGTTGCGAAAAAATTGCAACATGCCGAACAATCACGACCAAAGCCTTAGACAATCTTTCTGCGGCGTATTTTCGAGCCAGATCGATCCGTCCGCAAGGGTCCCGGGTCCCGAAACATGGCAGAATCGTGCGTTGCGGACGCATTGCGACAGCAGGATCCCAGGGGAAGTCTGGGGCCACCGCTCCCAGCGCTGGCGCCCGTGCGCACGCGCGCGCGCGGGCCCGAGCGTTCCCCACGCTGCCCGCGGTCGTTTCCCAGGTGTGCATCGCTCCCGCGTTGCGGCGGCGTCGCGCGCGGGCTCACGCGGGCCCCCGAAATTCGGGAGGCCCCTTGGAGGTGCTCGGAGGCTCCAGGAGGTGCTCTGTGGCTTTTCTTGAGATCCTGGCGTCGCATTTTTTCACCACGGTCGATGTTGCCTTGTTTCGGGCTCCAGGGTCCTCACGGATCGATCTGGCTCGAAGAACTCTTCAGGAAGACGGGGCCCAGGGCTCCAGCTGATTTTTTCTACGATGTCGCATTTCTTGTGTGACGTCGGATCTTAGTGGAGGTAGTTACTCGGCAGCTCTTCTGGTCGTCTCGGAGGCACCTGGAGGATTCGGGGATGAGGTTCTCTGGAGGCTCCGCGCGCCCAGGAGGCGTTCGGATGTGTTCGGGGGGGTTCCTCAGAGGTTTGGAACTTCTTGGAGGTTTCTGGACGTGTCCAGGGGTTTCTGGAGGGCCCTGACATCCGTGAAAGAGGTCGTCGTCGTCGTGGTCGTGCTCGTTGTCGTGGTCGTGGTCGTGGTTGTGGTCCTCGTCGTCGTGTGGTCGTGGTTGTGGTCTGGGTCTGGGGCTGGGTCCGGGTCTGGGTCGTCGTCGCCGTCGGCGTCGTCGTCGTCGTCGTCGTGGTAGTGGTAGTGATCGAGGTTGTGGTCCTGGTGATGGCGGTCGTGTGGTCGTCGTGGTCGTGGTGGTGGTGGTGGTGGTCGTCGTCGTCGCCCGCCGGCGTCCAGGGGCTTCAAGGTGGCCGTCTGGAACCTCGAGACGGAGGCGGCCAGGGGCGCGATGCTCCGGTCAGGGTCTGGTCGGTTACCCCTGGGGCCCGTTCCAGGTGTGAGGCGAGGGCCCCAAGAGGGTGCCATGACCACATCGTGTGGTGATCGCCAGGAGCGAAATGGGTTCGGATAGATTGGGCACGCAGGCCTACAGCAGTTCCTGTCCATTTAGAAGGCTCGCTGTCGGTGTCGCCGCGGATGTCGTCCATTTGGGACAGACGGCCGCCTGGCCAACAGTTGCCGCTGTCGGTTTTGGGCAACCTTTGTTGGTGGGCTTCCGGGCTGTCAAAAGTGAGTCAGTGGGGATTCGGGGTGGCCGCACGGTCTTGGCTTTGGGTTTTTCTCCGAGGATGTCTCGGGCGATTGGGACTTCCAAGGCCCCCCAAACGGTGCGGTGACGGACCGTGCGGTGAGGTCTCTTGGGGCTTCGAGATCACCGCACGATCTGTCACTGCACCGTTTCGGGATCCTCAAGGGAGGCGCGCGCGCCTGCGGCCAGTGCCGCAAGTTTGCCGCGTTTCGGGGCTCGTGGCAGTGACGCGCGGTCCGCTTCAGCGAGTTGAAGCGGGCCGTTCCAGGCAGGGCTCTTCGTCGAGGGGCGCCAGGGGGCGGGCCCTCTCTCGCCCCCGGATGTGGCCCGCGGAGGGCTGGGCGGAGGCAAGATGAGGGGGCGGTTCTGCTGGCAGTAGGGTGCGGACGTGATCGGGGATGCCCTCCGTGGGCTCTCACACCGATGACAGATTCGATGGCGCCGCGAATGAGGCGGGATTTCAGTTCGCCCTTCACGTAGCCTCCAGGGCCTGACGCAGCAGCGGGCACTACGCCCAGAAAGAGCTGATCGGGGGCGCCGAAACGGGGTTCAGCGGTAACGGGGTCAGTCAATCTCCTCTGATCCCATCTGGCTGGCCCAGGGATTGGGGGCCACGTGAGGCCGACCTCCCCTGCCGCCCCTCCGCTGACCCCCGTGAGCCGATGAGAGGGCCGCTCCCTCCTTTCACTGTTGAAATAATCGAGGCACAGACCAACAGCACTTACTGTCCATGTTTGATTGGATTCGCTGTCGGCCTCGCCGCGGGCGCTGCCACCTGGGGACAGAGGGTCGCCTGCACCCCAAAGCGGCCGCTGTCGGTTTTAGGTATATCGTGTCCATTTACTCGTAACCATTCCGGGCGTGCCGATCACTTCTTCTCCCCTCTCGTTCTTCCCCTCCTCCCCCTCTCCTGCCCTCCTGCCCTCCCTCCCTGGCTTCCCCCGTCCCCGTGCGGCGGGTTCTATGGCCCGCGTCTCTTTGGGGCGATGTCCCCCGTCTTCTCCCTGGCCGCCCAGCTCGGGCCAACGAGCTCAGCGAGCGGGGGGCGTGCGCCCCCGTCGATTGCCGCCTTCGTCCCTCCCGCCTTCGTCCTCCCTCTTCCCTTGTGGCCCTCCCTCCCTGCCACCCCCTCTGGTCGGTCCCAAGGGTGAGGCTTTGGGGGTGAGGTCTGTCATGTTTCAGTTTAGCCACTGCGTGTGCCCAGTCTCGTCCAGCATTCTTGCTGCCTCACGCCTTACGATCGCAACGGCGGTGCTCCAGTCAAAACCGCTCTCCCTACCTTCGTCCTCCGCTCCCCCTCACCCTCATCGGTCGTTCTTCTTCATCTTCTTCCCCTTCGTCCCGTATGGCGCCCCAGTTGGCCGTTCGCTCCCTCTCTCCTCTCGTGCTGCTGACCTGGAGGGCCCGCAGTTCCCGAGGCCAGCGCCCCAGGCCCGCTTTGTTTCCCACAGCCTCCGATGGACGGCTCGCCTGTCCTCCCCGATAGCAGCTTGCGGCAGACCCCCTTCTTCTGTGGAGGGGAAGTCGGGACAACGGCGGCCCTCCCTGGGGGCCGTCATAGCAGCGGTGGCAACAGTAGTGGCAGTGCTTGGGGTCGTGGCGGTCATCGTTAGCTCTGTTGCCATCGTCACCATCAGCGGAATCGAAGCAATGGCGTCAGTCTGCGATTCATCATACTTAACAAAAGTTGGAACACACACTTGTATATATTGCCGAACAAGAGCGCTCCAGGCTATCGGGCCCAAACAACGCATTTCCCAACACAGTGCTTGCACTTAGGGTTTCTTACTTCTGTTGTAAAGAAGTGGGCCAGCTGGCGGCTATGTGGCCGGCGTCGCCGCTCAGTCGCTGCCTCGTCGTCGCCCGTCGTTAGGGCTGTGTCTTCGGTCTGGTGGCTATGTGGCCGCCGTCGCCGCCCTGTCGCCGCCTCGTCGCCGCCCTGGTTTTCTTTTTTAACACGTATTAGGATCTACCTCCCCCACTATTTCGACTTAATGCACCGCCTTTGTGTGTTGCAGTTTACATATGATTCTTCCCCACCGTCCACTTGAAATTTGAATTCATAGCACCCCAGGCAGACCCTTATCGGCCCCCCTTCGTCCTCTGCAAAAAGTATACAACGCACGCGCACCATTTTATTCAACATTCACACAAGTGTTCAAGAGTGGCTTGCACAATAAAAAAGCACGGGACGAAGTGAATACGCGCCCGTCATCGTGCGCGCATGCTGGAAACCTTCAAAAAAACACAGGTTCCGTTAGGACTGAAAAGTCAGTGTCCCGATCCCATACAGAGAACCAATGGTTTGGCAACCCGAATTGTCAGACAAGCATGCGCTCGGGCTCTTGCGATTTCTTAGACAAAAAAGCTAGGGTTCCAAACTTTCCATCACATTCTACCGAGTGCGCTTCTCGTGCGCGCATTTCGAAATCGTTTGAACGCCCTTGCGCGCGTGCTGTCGCAAGAATCCCTTGCAAGAGACGGGACGAAGTGCACACGCGCGCGCCGTCGCGCGCATGCCTAAACCCTTCAAGTACCATAGGTTCCGTGGGATTTTCGAAATCGAGTGTCCAGCAATCGTAGGCATCACACATGGCTTTGGAGCAACAGTTTTAAGATAACAGTCTGCGCGTGCGCTCTTGCGAATTCTTAAGGTACCCATAGGCTTTCGCCACGTCCACCCAATTCGACCAACGGGCCTCTCGCGCCGCATGCCGAAGTCATTCCAACGCCCCCCTTGCGCGCGTTCCGGGGGGGGGGGGCACGATCCATGCCAAATAGTACATGCGGGCCGCTTGCGCATTTCGAACTCCTTCCAACACCTTCATCACTGACGCGAGGACACCGTCACCGTTATCGGCGTGATCAGTATCGGCGGCGTCATTGGCCTTGCCGTCGTCGTCATCATCGCGACCATCATCGCTAGTAGCATCATCGCGTCTATCGTTGTCGACGTCGCCCAGATACCTTGCACGCCCAAGCCACCTTCTCGCACCGAAGTACCCGCTGGGACGTGCCCAGCGGCCAGCGCCACCGCGGCCGCGCCGGTCGCGCTAAACTAGCTGGCCGCTGTGCGCGCGAGCAGGCGCGGGCCAGCGCGGCCGCAGAGGTGCATCAGCCAACACCAAGCACTCATCGCACTCGCCGCCGCATGAGTTGTGCTTGCCAAGTTGTGCGTGGGTGGGTAGGTGGGATCGGTGCGTGAGCAGTGGAGTTGACATTTCCGAGTTTTTGAGCAGTAATTGTGCAACGAGGGTTGCACCGCGTAGATTGCATCACACAACTTGCACCGCATAGATTGCACCATTTTGGGTGCAACGCGTAGCTTGCAACACAACGTTTGCACGGCACGCATTGCACCACAGGTATTGCACAACATAGATTGCCTCACATAGAGTGCACAGCATATATGGCACCCCATAGAGTGCACCACATGTATCTCGCCGCGTACAGCGCACACCGCATGTTGCATCACGTAGATTGCACTATTTTAACAATGTACCACGCAACTTGCACAACGTATATTGAATCTCCTAGATTGCACAGCGTGGGTTTTACAACATATATACATATATATATATATATCCATATATATATATATACATATTTATTGCCCCACGTAGGGTACACATTATACTCACACATATACATATATCGTGCCACATGAATTGCATCACGTAGGTTGCGCCACACAGGTTGCACAATCTAGAGTGTACCACGTCGATGGCATATTGCTTTCGGTTGCTCCCCATACACTAGCTGGTACACTTTCGATTGAAACGCATGTGTTGCACCACGTGCGGTGCACCACGTGAATTGCACCACGTAGACTGGACAACCCATGTTGCACCGTATGGAATGCACCACGTAGAAAGCACAGCATAGGTGACACCACATGGATTGCACCACATTGGTTGGTACACGTAGATTGCACAGCATAGATTGGAACGAGCAAATTGCATTGCGTTGATTGCACCACGTATATTGCACCACATAGCGTGCACATCGTCATTTGCATCACGTAGGTTGCACCATCTTTCTTGCCCGAAATAGAGTGCACAGTATGAGCTGCACCCGCTACCAGTGCACCACTTACACTGCACCGTGTAGCTTGCACAGCACTTCTGAAACGCATGTGTTGCACCACGTGCGTGGCATCACGTGAACTGCACCACGTAGATTCTCTCTCCCATTCTCCCCCGGGGTATTGCAATTTACACATGATTCTGCCTCCTTGTTCATTTTCCATATGAACTCATACCATCCCAGCTAGTCGCGGTATCGGGTCTTCCTTCATCCCTGTCAAATTATGCCATGCGGTGCACATGCGTTGGTCCAAGATGAGCTGAGCGCATGGCTCCTTATGCAATAACACCATGCGGGCCACATGCGCGAGCGCAATACGAAATCCTTCCAACACCTTTGCTTTCGTGGCGATTTCGATGTAAAAACGTCAAGCACCCAATGCTTTGTCCCCAACAAACAGTTTTCAACATTTCATCTCGCGCGCTCCTGCGGGTTCCTAGGACACCCAATGTTTTTGGTTTGCTGTTCAACTTTCCTGTCCAAAGACGCCTTCGCGCGCGCATGTCGAACTTATTCCGCTGCCTTCGCGCGCTTGCCAGAGGCACGATCCCTTTCATATAAAAACCATGCGGGGCACCGTTATCGTCATCATTGCCGTCGGAAGCGTCGTGATCATTATCATCGTCGTTTGTCGGCGCCGTCGTCCGCGCTGTTTCCCGGAAGCTGGATTTTGCCCGCGCTGTCGTCCGCGATGTCACCCCCAAGAGGGACTTTGCCCGCGCCACGAGGGTCCGCGTGTCAGTGAGTTCGGTGAAATTTGCGGACGAGCTCCGCGCTGTAAGTGCAGATGCGACTTTATGAGTTTTGTCGACCAGGATGCGCGTGGGAGGGTGGGATGTGTGCACGAGCGTGGGGGGGTGGTCACGCGCGGTGCAGCGTGGTCAATTGCGCCATATCGGGTTGCACCACACCGATGGTACCACGTAGATGGCACAACATATATAGACGCATGGGTCCAAGCTGGCGATCATTGTGTTTCCCGATGCCATGAGCAATCCGGTTTTTCGCTACCCCGTGTGATTCCCCTTTGGTACACGTTGTATCGTTTGTATGTTTCCATGGGTTCGTTTGTGTCATATCAACAGTTGCATCTGTTCCATTATTGGTCATTCTGTCGCACGCAGAACGCGAACTTTGTGTTTCGGTGATAGAGCGGCTGAACTGTATAACGAATCAGTCGTGCTTTCTTAGCTTACCAATGGAAGTATGTTGTGCGCGCGGCGGCGAGTGCACGTGCTGGCTCAGGTGACAACCAGGAACTTTCGAACGATGGGCCTTTTTATGCTTGATGAGAATGCACGTTTGCCTAATAACATTCACGTCGCCATGGGCGATGGTTTTGGGGGCGCAACAGGGTAAGGTGACCACGACTCGTGTCAGTACATGTTACATCAGCAGAACATTCATTGGCTCCAGTACTTCGGCATTGATTTCGACAGTGTTGCCTCAGTTTGCGCCTCCTGCGAACCTCTCCACGGTGGGTGCTGTCATTAACGTTTCAGTGATGCGGCGTCTTGAGCTTGAGGGGACATGCGTTGCAAATGTGTCGATGCAGCCAGGAACGTTACCGGCAAGGGGTTCACTGGGATAAGCAGTGATGGCAAGGGATTCGCCATCATACTTACCACCGTGACAGGATGTGGATCTGGCAATGGCTATCAGTCGTGAAACACTCGCGTACGCGGACACAGCAACGGGGTGGCAAATTGTATAGTCTCGGGTGGTGCGCGTGGCATGTGGATTGAAACCATCACGTCATAGGTTGTGCACGACCACACGCAGTCCCGCATCTGGCTGGGTACAACAACCTCGTCGAGCTCTCGGGAGGGTATGGCTTGTGGATCGAGGACGGCAGTGAGGCTGTCAGCGCCTTTCACAATACTGCCCGGAACGAAACTGCGGGGATCGATGTTTACAACAATGGTGTCAAGGACCGCGCGCTCTCCAAAATGCTGATCGTCGGCATACAGTTTCACAGAGACAGAATTTCCGTTTCGGCTGTGGTATCCGCACTCAGCAGGCAGTCCTAACCCAGCAGAGCCTTCTCGCTTCCAACACATTCCAAGACAACAAAAGGTTGGTCTTTGATTAGGGCGGCACCACGAACTTTTGGTTTATGCCAACCATCTTCGATCAGCCATCTTACGGCAGGATCGCTGGACATAGTGCCAGTGACATCAGCGTGTTGGACCCCGTTTCGGACGCCGAGCTTCCAGGCGATCATGATTTGATCGGGTCTCTGCTTAGTCAGATTGCGGGTCGAATTGCAGTCAAAATGTATTATGTTTGTGTGTGTGGTTCTTTCGCGTGTAGTGGGTTGGGGGGGAGAATGGCGGCGGACGGGCGGGCGGGCGTGGGGTGCGGGGGGGGGGGGGAGGGGGGGGTGCGGGTCCCGTGCCCGTGTTTAGGGTGGGGGTGCGTGTTGGGGGGCGGCGTGAGGGATTTTTGTTTTGGTGTGGTCGAGTGCGACAGGAGTGGCCGGGGGGGATGAAGGGGGAGGGGAGGGGCGAGGGAATGGAGGAGGAGGTCCGGGGCGGGGAGAGGGGGGAACGCGGGGATTCGAGGGGCGGCGAGGTGAGGGGCCAGGAGGGGAGGAATGGAAGGAGGAGGGGCGGATACGGGGGGGGGAGGGATCCCGGGGCTCAAGCTTGGCGGCGTGTCGGGGGGGAGGTTGCGAGTGGCGCTCGGGGGCGTGGAGGCGGGCACGGCCGTTTGGGGTGCAGGTTGCGGAGAGATTCTTGGCGATGCACGTGCCGAAGTATGGGGCGGACAGGGTGCTGGCGGGCGCAACGTACGAGGCGCGGCCTCCTCGTCGCAATCTCCGGCCCTTCCTCCCTCCTCCTTCCTTGCTTACACATGTATATATACATATAGAGGATACTGTAGTTGTTTTGTTGGTGCTTTTCTGTTTGTGGTTGTTTGCTTTCTCTCTCTCTCTGTCTCTCTGTCCCGACCTATGTATGCGTGTATATATATATATATATACATATATATACACATGCATGTGCGTGCGCATGTTTAACAGTTTTTGTGCTTGTTTGTCGTGTGTTAGTTTTTGTTGTGTGCTTTTATGATTGTGTTGGTTTCCTCTCTCTATGTATATAAATGGATGTATGTGTATGTGTGTTATCAATTTTCGGTGTGTCTCTAGCAACAAAAGCAAACACACATATATATATATACATGTATATATGTATGTATATATACATGTATATTTGTATATATATATATGAACATATGTATATATATAGGTGTAAATCTCTGACCGTACATCTACACTGTATAGATCAATGCATGTATACATGTAGTTATCCCCCTTCCTCCCTCGTTCCCTCACCCCCTCTCGGTTTTTCTCATATATATATATACACATTCAGAAGTACATATATGGATCTCTCTCACTTTCTGTCTCTCTCTCTCTCTCGATGTCCTCTGTGTATTCCTTTGCCTTTCTTTCTGTCTCTCCCCTTATATATATATATGTATATATGTACATATGTGTATATATGGCCCTGCGTGCTGGATAATGTGTTCTCGAGTGTCTCCGTTCCGCTGCCGTTTTTGGGCTCTGGCCAAAAACTTGAAGACGGTTGTGATGCTTGGCCCGCTCGCCCAAGTAGCGTCCGCCAGCTTCGCGGGCAGTTGGCTGGGGGGGGCCGCTCGCGCATGCCACTGTGACTGTGCGTGCGCCTGCCACACCAGCTCCGACGAGGGGGCCTTGAAGCTGCTCGAGAAGCAGCTCGACAGGTGCGGGCCCGAGCACCTGTGCCCGCAGTGCCCGACCTGCCCGCAGTGTCCGGGGCCTCCCCCTTGCCTGCCGCTCTGGCCTGCTGGGCTGGGCGGCTTCGTGGCGGGCGTCGCCACCACCGCGCTCGCGGCGCTGTGCGCTGGGCGCTGCAGGGGCCGCCGCGAGGGCGCCCGTCCGGCTCGCGCCGCCGGGCCGAGCCTGCCGTTGGGCCTCGCGGACGGGCCTGCGCCGTCTGTGCCGGCGCCGGCGCTGGCCGCTGCCCCGGAGCCGAGGGCTCCTGCGGCGCTGCCGGGCGCGGCGGCGCTTCGGGGCCGGGCCTCGCACCGCGGGGCCGGGGTGCTGACGTTCGGCTGAGGCCGGGGCCCGCGCGGACAGCGGCATGTCGTCGCTCGCGCCTGGGACCTATGCGTTCGTGCAGTACAATGACCCGGCCGACAACGGGCTCTGGCATGAGCGCTTGATCTTGGGCTGGGTCACTGCATCAGAGTACATTGTGATGACCCCAGATGGGGATGTCTTCATAGAACAGCTCGACTCGGCGAGCGCGGACCTGTCAGGCATCCTTTTTTCGCCTTCGTCGGGGGGTTTGCCCGCTGGCCTCGCGGGTGCGCCGCTCTACCGCTTCGCGGCGCAGCCTGCTGGGGCCGAGCTGACGGCGCTGCTCAACGAGGGGGCTTCGCACGCTCGCGTTGAGCGCCAGGCGAGGGGCTTGGCGCAGCCGCCCGGTGCGGGCATGGCCGGCGGCCCGGGCGACGTTGCCCCGGCGGTGGTGCCGATCCCGCTGCCGGTCGCGCCGCCCCCGGCGGCTGCCGGCGCGCCCCCGCCGCCTCCGCCCGCCCCGAGGGTGGCGCCGGCCGCGGGCAGCTGGGTCTTCGACGTCCCTGGCCCCTCGCACGCGATCGGGCAGGAGTTCCTCTTCCCTGCGGGCGGGCTGGACTTCGGGGGCCACGTGTTCGTCTCGGTGGGCTGGGCGATCACCACGGGCTGCTTCGTCCAGGCGGACACGAACCTCGACGAGTGGGCGGCGGAGCGGCAGCTCTTCCTGATGCAGGGCGAGCCGCGTCTGCTGCCCCGGCGGCAACCTGCGGGGCCGGTCCCATTCACCCGCGACGCGGCGTGGCTGCACAAGGACCCCCGGGTTGAGATCCACCTAAAGGGGCCGCCGACCATGGGGGACTCGGTGACCGCGCTGATGGCGCGGAGTCCGGGGGGCTTCATGTCCTCCCACGAGCGCTGGCTGGTAGAGAGCAAGGTGCCCGCAGCTAGCCGCTCGGCCCGCGAACATCGAGTGGTCTCGAAGGCGCTCGAGCTCGGACAGGCGGTGGACGGCGTAAACCTGGCGAACCTCACCTGCATGGAGTACCTCAACAGGCGCCGCCAGTTGCTGGAGGAGGCCCACAAGACCGACCCGGACAAGGGCAACTTCGAGGGCGCCCGCCACTTCATGGGCGAGGATGACGATGGAGCGGGCACCCTTGTCGCCCCGAGCCTCCGCTCGCACGTGGCCGGCGAGTTCGGCAAGGAGGCGGCCATCGAGAAGGAGAGACGCAAAGCACGAGAAGCGAAGAAGCCACCTCCCGGAGGTGGCGGGAAATCATGACCGACTTGAACCACGACGGCGCCTTTGCTGGCGGCGCCGCCGCGGCTTGGAAAGACCAGCTTTTTTCGGAGGAGGGAGTGGCCCCGCCTAGGGGCTGACCGGACGCACAGCCGCCCGGCTTCAGGCCGCCGCCGGGACTTCCGAGGCCGCCCGGCTGCCTGGACGATCTCTTCCCCCTCCCGCTGCTCGACCCGCAGGAGGCCGATTTTGGCGGCTCCGGCCGCGCCCGCACTGGGCAACGAAGGAGATGCATCCGTCGGGACGTGCTGAGTGACGTGAACGACTCGCTGATGGGCCTCAATGCTCTGTACGGCTGCGAGCGCTCGTCGGTTACCGCGCCCGCCGAGGCGCAGAGGCTGGCACGACGGAGGTTGCTCCGTTCCGCTCGCTCTGCCCGACAAGTTTTTCCAGACTTCTTTAACATGGGTCCCCGTGAAGCTGCCGGTGAGCTTCTGGGATCGCGCCTCGATTATCAGGGATCGGTGACGACGGTCGTCCCGCACCGCGCCGATGCCTTGTCTTTGCCCCCCGCAGGACGACAGCCGGTCAGCCTTCAGGGCGTTCTCGACCCTGATGCCGCGCACGCGCTTGCTAACTTTGAGGGCCCCCTCGCCGAGCCTGAGGTTCGTCAGGCCCGTCGGGAGGGGGGCCCGGTCCGACCCTACATGGACGCTGTGCTTAAAAATGATCGGGCCCAGTATGTGCAGTTTTTGGGGCAGCTCGCGAGCTGCCATGTGCTCACCTCCACTAGGACTAAGAAAGCCTCTGTCACCCCGTTTTTCGTGTCAAAAAAGACCGACAAGATTTGGCTCGTGTTAGACTGTCGTGAATCTAACCAGTTTTTTAAACACTCTCCCTTCGCGGAGATAGCTGCGGCGGAGAGCCTCAGCTCGTTGGAGGTCCCCGAGGGCAGGCAGTTGTACAGTGCATGTGCTCATATCCAGTGTGCATTCTATCAGTGCGGAGATATAGGAGATCTATGCCAGTACTTCTGCCTCCCCAAGGTGACTCGGGCCGAGGCTCACCGCGTTGGTATCCCCGTGAAGGACCTGGGTGGGACGAGCGACTTTGTGTACCCGGCGATGCAGGTGCTTCCGATGGGTTGGTCCTGGGCCTTCTGGTTCGTCCAACGTCTTCACCTCGAAGTGGTGCGGAGGTCAGGGGTCCTTTCTACCATGGTTGCTACTGGATCCTGGCCTCTCCCTTCGGTCGTCGAGGGCCCAATCGAGGCCCCGTACTCGGACAACGTGAATGTGTTCGGTTTGGAGCCGGGGCCCGTGTTCGCAACGCGCGATCGCATCGTCGCCCAGTTCGAGGCGGAGGGGTTCGCCATGCATGACATCTCCGAGGCGTCGTCCGAGGGCGTCGTCTTGGGAGCTGACGTCGGAGGGCCGGATCCCTTCACCCGCCGCTCTCTAAAAAAGCTGTTGGTGGTCAGGAAAGCTCTGTTCTGGCTCGCAACGGGCCCGTGCGTAAGCGGCCGACAGCTGGAGGTTATCTTGGGACATTATGTCGCTGCCTGTCTTTTCTGCCGTCCCGGCTTTTCGATCATGCGCGCGGTGTGCGAGTTTGCCCGGGCGTCTTACGACGCGCCCAAGGTGCCCTGAAGAAGTTGTCGTTACGAGTGTTGGCTTATGGCGACCCTTTGCATCCATCTGCAGTCCCCCCTGTCTTTGCCGTGGGCGAGTGGGGTCATCGCTACCGACGCGCCCGCTACCGGGATGGGAGTGACCGAGGCCAGGCTTCCAAAGGAAGTCGTAGCGGATGTTGGGAGATGGCGGGAGAGGTGGAGGCATCGTCGCTTGGAACCTTCTGAGTGGGCCCCCCGGGCCCGGGCCCTCGACGGCCTGGGCGAAATCACCATGCCACGCACTGCCTGGGAGAACCCGTCGGAGCGCGGATGGAAGCACGCTGTCGGATGTCCCGAGGTCCCGTCTGATGTCCTTGGAGCCCAGTTTCGTGTCGTGTACGCTGCGCCCTTCAGATATGCCGAGCACATCGGGGTCAAGGAGGGGCGGGCCGCTGCGTGGGCTTTGCGCCGTGATGCGAGAGATCCAGGGCGGCACTGCTCCAGGAGGTTATACTTGATTGACAATTTCGGGGTCGTGCATGCTTTGGAGCGTGGGGGGGCCACATCACACGGCCTCCTGCAGATCTATCGACGGGTCACCGCTCTGTCCATAGCCTGTAGCATTTCGGCTCGTTTCCGTTGGATCGCCTCAGAGTCAAACCCGGCCGACGCGCGGGAGCGGCCGGACGCTCGGCCGCCCTGTGGGCCGTATGCTCGGCCCGCTCAGCGTGGCTGGAGGGGCTACGCCCTGCCTGGAGGACAGCCACGGGCGCGCGTCGACCACCAAGGGGGTCCAGCGCGCCGTGCGGAAGGCTCGTGCTGCTCGTCTTCCAGCAGCTCCAGCCGCGCCGCGGCGGGCCAGGCTGGGGAGGCCCGCTGC